GAGAGAATAGATTTTGACAAATAAAAAAGGAAATTGTATTATTTTTCCTCCTAGGAAACATAAATCATGAAATTAAAAATTATTGATTTAATTGGTTAATTAATAATATTTTTCAAAATTATATTTTAATTCAAAAATTTTTAAAATTATTTAAGAATTTTTAAACTTCTTCAAAACTCCTCACGAAAAGTTACTTTATATATCATATATATATATATATATATAATTAAAAGTAATATTTTTTCATGTTTAAGTGGCACATTATAAGGGCTTACTTTTTTCTTAGAAAGCCATGACAACATATATTTTTTTAATTGCATATAAAGTTCTACACAAATCCAAACATAATCTATATATTATATAAGGAAAAAGAGATTTTTAACCCATAAACCATGTGGGAGCTCCAATATTTCAATTTTAATTTTCTAATTTTTTGATTTAAAAAAAAATCTCAGCATTTATTGATTTCTCCCAGCCCACAAGTCTTTTTGACTTCTCCCGTACATGCTGCCTCACTTTTCAACTCCTCTCATACACTATGGTTAGCGATGGGATTATTAAATTATTTTTATTAAAAAATAATTTATCTATTAAAAAAATACCTAAAACAAATATAAATTCTTATTAAAAAATAACAGGTTGTAATTGCAAAAAAAAAAAAAGAGAAAAAAGAAAAAAAATTACACTGTGCATTTCATTAATAATGCTAAAACAATGTGCCAAGTATTTGCACAGAGGTTTAACACGTGTCCACTCTCAAATCTATGTATTATATAAGGAAAATGAGATTTCTAACCCGCAAGTCTTGTGGGAGCTTCAATATTCCAATCTTAATTTTTTAATTTTTTGACTTAAAAAAAAAAACTTAACATTTATTGACTTCTCTCAACCCGTAACTCTTTTTAACTTCTCCCATATCTACTGCCACACTTTTCAACTTTTCACATACACTATGGTTAGTGGTGGGATTATTAAATTATTTTTATAAAAAATCTAAAAGAAGTGATTTGTAATTTAAAAAAAATTAAAACAAATATAATTTTTTATTAAAAAATAACAGGTTGCAATTGCAAAAAATAAAATAAAATTACACTGTGCATTTCATTAATAATGCACAAAAAATGTGCCAAGTTTTTGTATAAAGGCTTGACACGTGTTCACTCTCAAATTATCAAGTGAATATAGATGAAACCAAAGAACTTAACTTTAATGGCTAACAAATATTAAAAACCCAACCATTGCAGCATAATAATTATTAATTAATAGAGTTCAACAATTGAAAGGTCTCAAACCACTTCTCTTTGTCTTCTCAAATATTTATTTATTTTTTTGTTCATGCATTCATTTTGATATTGATCGAGAATTGGCCGTGTGGGAGGGTAAGAGACATTAGAGGTTTAACACGTGTCCACTCTCAAATCTATGTATTATATAAGGAAAATGAGGTTTCTACCCCGCAAGTCTTGTGGGAGCTTCAATATTCCAATCTTAATTTTTTAATTTTTTGACTTAAAAAAAAAAACTTAACATTTATTGACTTCTCTCAACCCGTAAGTCTTTTTAACTTCTCCCATATCTACTGCCACACTTTTCAACTTCTCACATACACTATGGTTAGTGGTGGGATTATTAATTTATTTTTATAAAAAATCTAAAAGAAGTGATTTGTAATTTAAAAAAATTAAAACAAATATAATTTTTTATTAAAAAATTACAGGTTGCAATTGCAAAAAATAAAATAAAATTACACTGTGCATTTCATTAATAATGCACAAAAAATGTGCCAAGTTTTTGTATAAAGGCTTGACACGTGTTCACTCTCAAATTATCAAGTGAATATAGATGAAACCAATGAACTTAACTTTAATGACTAACAAATATTAAAAACCCAACCATTGCAGCATAATAATTATTAATTAATAGAGTTCAACAATTGAAAGGTCTCAAACCACTTCTCTTTGTCTTCTCAAATATTTATTTATTTTTTTGTTCATGCATTCATTTTGATATTGATCGAGAATTGGCCGTGTGGGAGGGTAAGAGACATTATATATTGAGTTATATAATTGTTGTGATAAAAATAAAGATTGTTTTCACATTCTATGGCAATTTATCTAGTTATACCTCCAATTAAAACGTCAGGTGTGCTTATACGTCATCATTGAACGTTGCATTTATTTTTTTTAGATACTTTATCTCACAATTGTTTGTATTTTGTATTATAAAATTTATTATATCTGTATTTACTAAAATTATTAGATGAACCTAATATAAGAAGTGTAGACTATTTTAACGTCACTCTCGGGATTAGAAGTACAAAAAATATATATAAAAAGTATATGAATAAACAAGATTTTACAAAAATTTATTTGTGAGTCTCACCTCTTGAAAATCCTATAATCTATTTATTTTTTTATATTATATTTTATTTTTGGTTTCTATACTTTTTTTTATATATAGTTTTCTTTGTTTTCTTTAAAAGTTTATTTTTAAAAATTAAAAAAAAAAATAAATCATTTTATATTTCAAACAATTTCATTCTTGTTTTTTCTTAAAATAGTTTTAAGTTTGGGGCGATTACTTACTTTTTTTTTTCCCTTCTATATATTGTAATTTTGTACATTTTATATGATGTTTTCACTAATACACTCAGAGATGTATTATGAAAGAAGTATCATGCGAAAATGAAGCATAAAGAAGAAAAATAAATAAAACGATATGATGAATGTGGAGCAAAAATCAAAACTCCCAATGCAAGCAAGCAAACAAATAAACAAGTAAGCAGAATAGAATGTTTAACAATAGACATTTGAAAATTTGCTACAAAATTTTATAACTTTTCATTTTGCTAAAAAAATTATATTTGATACTAGCTAAATAAAATACTTTTAAAATAATTTTTTTTTAAAAAATTTAACTATATTAAATTTATGTAGGCATAATTCCTAACCACATTTTTTTACTTAATATATAATATTATATTGACTACCTTTTTCAGGTTTTTTTTTTTTTAAGTATTTATGTAGAAGTAAAAAAATTTTGTTACAAATAACTTTTTTTCTTAATTTAGTTATAAATTTTGCCTATGCATTATTTTAAATTTTAAATAAAAGAAAACATAAAATAATTGATTAAAGATATGTTGCATTTGTTATATTCGTTTTTTTTTTGTGTGCAAAAAAAGAAAAAAAAAATTTAAAAATCACAATTCACACATATACAAATAATTATAAACATAACCCGTGCATAGCACGGGTGGAACACTAGTTTAAATTATACTAACTTTACTTATTTTATATAGATTTTATTTGACATATATTTTTTTCCATATATTTTTCATGGTAAATTAAGATAATCTACAAATCTAATACATTTGTATTTCACGTTTTTTTTCTTAATTCTTTCAAGGGTATTAGGATTTTTTTAATGCTAAATTATTTAGTTATTTATTTTTTTTGTGCATTATTCTGTACCTAATATCAATTCTATATTATGGATTTGTCATTTAAATTTTATAGTGATTCTATATATAAAATTAGACTTCGTTTACTATATTATTTTATATAATCACAAACTTGTATGAGGAAAAACCAGCACAATAATGATACTCTCGAGAAACCTCTAAAATTTAGATTTACTATTTGAGTTACTTTTTTAATTATTGAATAGTAAGTTTTTTTTTTTTGATATTATATTACAAATGATTAATTATTTCATACACTGAGATGTATCTATTGTTTGGATATTTTCTTTATTTTTTCCTTTTGAGTTTAGATACTATTATGTGATTCTTTCTTGATTAGTTATTATTGAATTTCTTTTATATAGTTGATATTTTAAATTTAATTAAGAGTGTTTATTTTAAAATCTTATAACTTAATATATATGTATATATATATATATATAATCTAATTACAACATATTTATATTTAATTTTTTAATAAATTTTATATAATTTCTATCTTTCCATTTTTTAGTTTTCAAATGAATATAAAAAAAATTTAAATAGTTAGAATTACTTTTAATTTTATATTATTAATTTTCTTCTAATTTAACTATTATTTTTAATATCAAAATAAGTGTTTATTTTACTATTTTATAATTTAATATATATCATACAAAATTATTATATGATAATTATACTTTTATAAGACGATAGATTAAAATGATCAAAATACATAAATAATTTAACTAAAATTAATATATATAATATATATATATATATAATATTTAAGTAAAAATTTTATACAGCGATAACGCCAATTACTGTGTTTGGTTTGAGTTTTCTGGATTAAGTTTTTTGAATATTGACTTTTTTGATTTTTGTGTTTTTTGTTTTTAGTGAATATTTTTAAAATTTGAAACATTTTTTTTACTTTTTTAGATGCACTTACTTAAATGTATCTAAAAAGTAAAAAATCTGTGAAAAAATATTTTAAAAAATTAATAAATACATAATAAAAAAATGTAACTGATTTCTTGTATTTTTTTTATATTTTTGGTATTTAATGAATTTTTAAAAGATTTTTTTAATAATTTTTTTACTTTTTAAGTGTATTTATGGTAGTTGTGTCTAAAAAGTAAAAAAAAATTACTTAAAATATTAAAAAATTCAGTAAAAATAAAAAAACACGAAAAATAAAAAAGTGAAATTTTCTAAAAAATATTTTGAAAAACTAAAAACCAAACAAAATGAATACTTTTATATTAACAATTTAATTAATATTTAAAATTAAAATTAAAATTATTCTTTTATAACATATATTATATCATCAAATATTTTTAAAAAAAATAATAATAACACATACAGTATACGAATCGAATCGATTGCTATTCATTGAATATTGTTCATCAACCTATAAAACCGGGTAGTGTCCTAGTTTTTTTTTTGAACGACAAGGGTAGTGTCCTAAGTTGTTGAATAAAAAAATAATTAAGCACATACAATCGCCACGTATGCAGATCATTGCATATCAGGAGCTCACCAAGTCCATACATACAAAAATGACTATAGCTATGACGGCCCGTTCGTCGCTGTCACCCATACAGTCATCATCACTCTCGTTGTTGTGGTTGGCAAGGCTGAGTCGAAGCAAAGATAGGGTAGGGCTTGGTTTGAGGAAATGAGATGTCTTCGTCGAAGAAGATCACGCTGAAGAGCTCCGACGGAGAGGCGTTCGAAGTGGAGGAGTCGTTGGCGCTGGAATCGCAGACGATCAAGCACATGATCGAGGACGATTGCGCCCACAGCGTCATTCCTCTCCCCAACGTCACCAGCAAGATCCTCGCTAAGGTCATCGAGTACTGCAAAAAGCACGTCCAGATCTCCAAGACCCAAGATCGATCTGCCGAGGACGAGCTCAAGACCTGGGACTCTGACTTCGTCAAAGTCGATCAGCCCACTCTCTTCGACCTCATTCTGGTTAATCTCTCTCTCTCTCTCTCTCTCTCTCTCTCCTTTGACCTTTTTTTTTTTGTTGATAAATTAGTGTTTTGATTAGTCTCAATTGTTCTGTTTTGGTGCTATTGTTTGATAATTTAAATTAGTGATCCTTTATGCTCTCGGAGAATTGAAATTTCGCAATAGGGTTCGATGTGTCACTTGTTGTTTGTGCTTTTTGTACGATTCTCTTTTGTCAAATTCGATAGGGTTTTCCTTAATTCTCTGATGGTCTTGTTCAGGATTTGGAGTTATGTTTGCTGGTGTTATTATTGAGCAAAACTTGTATAGTTATGAGGTTAGGGGATTTCTCATGCCTTTTATGTGAAACGAACCCTTTTTAAGGTTATTTTGAGTTTTTCCGTACCAGTGTACTGAAATCCTTATTTTTATACACTGGTTTATAATTTTTTGAAAGAAACCCTTATTTTCGTTCTTGTACAAATTGGGAACTTATTAAGCTACAGAGAATTTTACCTTTATAAATTCACTAGTTATTCAATTGCTTGCGAGGAACGGTGTTCTGCAAACTCATGCTGTTGTTGCTGAACTGTTTTTTGTGAACCAATCCTTGCCGATGTGGATTGCCTGGTTGAAATGGTGAAAAGGATCATCAGTGGCCCACTATAAAGCTTTTTATATATTAAATATTTATACTAGTAAATAGTTATAGAACTTGCTTGGTGTGAACCAAAAAGTGAAGAAGTATTTGCTTGTTTTCATTTTTCAGAAAATCTTATTTTTTTTATTTTTCGTGTTTTTTTATTTTTATTGAATTTTTAAAAATATTTTAAGTATTTTTTTTTTACTTTTTAGACACACCTAACATAAATATACTTAAAAAGTAAAAAAATTGTAAAAAAAATCTTTTAAAAATTCACTAAATATCAAAAATACAAAAAAAAAAAAATACAAGAATTCAATACATTTTTTGTATTTTTATGTATTTATTAATTTTTTAAAATATTTTTTCACAAATTTTTTACTTTTTAGATACATCTAACTAAGGTGCATCTAAAAAAGTAAAAAAAATGTTTAAAATTTAAAAAATATTCACTAAAAACAAAAGAATACGAAAACTAAAAAACTTAATTCAGAAAACTCAAATCAAACACACCGATTGTGTTTTTCCTAATTGTAAATTTGCCTTGACAAACTGCATCAGTCTTTGATTAATTGTATCGGCTTCTAATCCTTCAACCCCTATAAAAGCGTTTTTATTGATGTTGTGCATAAAAATTATATAGAGGTGAAGTATGGGAAGAGTAGCCAGAGCTTTACATCTCTTATAGATCCTTTGTTTGTTGCTTAGTTCCACAAACTGGGAGCAGTGGGGGGCAGGGTGGGAGCGAGGGAAGTTGCTTTGCTCTTGACTAGTCCGTGGTAGGTTTTTTTGGCTTGATAGTGACAGAACATGTGCTAATTTCAAGTTGCTTTGATCTTTGTCCATCAAATGTGATTTATTTGAGTTGAGCCCAAAATTTCTGCATATTTGTTTTTACACTTTCTCATGTGGTAATTATGGTATTTTTTTTAAACACCAATATTAGGCAACAAGTTATCGAATTAATGTTAGATTGTTATCAGTAACTTGCATTATCCAGCTTCCACTATAACAAAAGCAATGGAGTGTCTGTTAATTGAATTTCTAGTCCATAATATACACTGTTGGCCCGTTTAGGAATTTGGTTATTTTAGTTGGCTTTTTGGCTATTTTGTGAGATGGAAAAAAGTCGTGTTTGGGATGATTTGGCTATTTTAGTTGTAGTTGAATAGATGGTTGTGAGAGAAAAAAATGATTGATTGTTGGGTAAGATGTGACATATTGGTTATTTTATTTTGTGTTTTGTGTGTGTGTGTGTGTGTGTGTCTATTTTAGTCAAAAAAAACCAAAAAAGCAACATCCCAAACAGGGCCTGTATTTCACGAAGCACGGCCTGTAAGGTCTTTGCATCTGGTATTGTGCCATGAGCTGATGATGCTTCTTTAACCAAGCTCTACTGGCAAATGCTCTTCTGTCATTATGTGCAAGCTTTCTAGCTTAGTTCTGTGCTTCAATGGAAATAATTTTGGTAGTGAACTAGTACCCGCTTGGTGCAATTGTTGAGTAGACTTCTCTTGTAGGTTGAACTCTTTAACGATGGTTGGTTGTTTGTAATTCATAATAGCAGCAGGGTGTCTCAATTACTGTTATTGGTAGACATCAAACTTTTTGAAGTTTAGCATGCATGTGTGCCATGTAATTTCTTTATTAAACTTTTGGCTGCTCATACTATGCTAGTTGTAGGGCTCTAGGGCATAACTAATATAATATAAAGCTTGGGTTATACTTGCTGTGATTTTTGATAATGATGTGAACTTGCTGAATATGATTCATCTGTTTCATACCTTATTCCAATTTTATTAATATGCCCTCAGGCTGCAAACTACTTGAACATAAAGAGCCTGCTGGATCTAACATGCCAGACAGTTGCGGACATGATAAAAGGAAAGACTCCGGAGGAAATCCGGAAGACCTTCAACATAAAGAATGACTTCAGTGCTGATGAAGAAGAAGAGGTTCGTAGAGAGAACCAGTGGGCCTTTGAGTAAGAAGAAATACATGGCCTGATGATGGGGGTATAGTAGTAGTACTGAGGATTTATGTATCCTGTACTGGTTTAGTCTCTTGTCATGACTATCGTTTTCTGTTTAGCAAACTCTCTCTTCAAACATAGCTGCTCTTTGAAATCTAAATAACAGCTGGATTCCGGTGGTTTTATGCACCTGTACTTTTATTTTGAAGTACTGTTAAACTGTGAGTTGTGCCTGAGCGTTTACATCATTATTATACGGTGAGAGTGAGGAGAGTTTTGGCTCGAGCATTGGTCATTGTCGTGAATTTGTAAGTTTCCAGTGATCGTTCCTGCCATACTTGCAGGAGAGGACTCGGTTGAGGGTTGTTTGGGGCCTGGTGGAGGGAATGTTGTGAGTCAGCTTGAGACTCTTCAAACATGGGTACACTGCTGCTGGCACAAGCACAATTCTTATTCTCGCCCAATAGTGGTGATCTGAATACAGACAGAATGAGCTAAGAAAAATTAGGTAAGGCTTTCCAACTAGTGAAATATACCTGCCAAAACTGAAACATCATAAGCCATGTGGGAGAAAGCTCTGGTTTGGGGGAGGGAGGGGGAATCCGGAGGCTCAACCCTAGGTGGATGAACTGACCGACCTCAACAGGGTCTGGTGCTTTTCTATTGCATTGTTTAGCTACAATTTTGTAGTTGGTTGTTCCGAAGTCAAATAGCTCAAATCTCATTGGACCAAAAACTGGCCTAGGAAAAGAGTGCACGCCTCAGATTCATTTTGCAGATGCCGGATAGGAACTCGGATCCTTTTGAAAAATAGGTGTTTTTTTTGTAATTGAATTAGGGCTGCAAATGAGCCGAGCCTAGCCGAGCCGAACTTTAGTATGTTTAGGCTTGTTTATTAAGATTTTAACGAGCTCGAGCTGAATAAAAATTCAACGAACCGAGCTCAAGCTGAGTTGGCTTAGGCTCGAGAGCTCGAGCTTGTTCACGAGTCATAACGAGCCAAAAAATTTATAAATTCATACTTGCATGTGAGACTAAAGTTATAATTAAAACTTTGATTATACAATTATATATACAATATATATAAACATACTAAAAAAAAGATCATATTTTACTAAAATAATAATATTTACTACCACTATTATATAAATGTACTATCTATAGTTAATTATTATTTACATTTATATTTTTTAAATATGTAAATAGTATATTTCTCTTATTTTTTATACATATTTTTATATTATTTAATATATTAATAATAAATATTAAACGAGCCAGCTAACGAGTCGAGTTTTAAAATATTTGAGTTTGTTTATTAAAAAGTTAACAAGCTCGAGCTCGAACGCAAAAAAAAATTAACGAACCGAGTTCAAACGAGCTCTTACTGGGTCGAGCTCGAGCCTGTTCACGAACGGCTCTGTTCATGTGCAGTCCTAGACTGAATAGGCCAGATCTAACTTCCACTGGTTTCTATTAATGTCTCCTAATGTTTCTGTGATATTGCCTGATTTCCATGAAGAGGGGTCCAGTGAAAAGATTTTGGGGAAACCTTATTGAGATATATATTTTTTATTTTTATTTTTATTTTTTTTAAACTAAAGGAAACCACCTTTTGAAGTGTAGTGGCTATGTTTTTACTGTATCACTCAAAATGTAATCACATTTTTAAATAACCTTTAAACAAAAATTTGGTTTGTAACCAAGTTTTAACTTTTTAAAAATCCAGCAATGCCAATGCTAGCATATTACCTTATTTACATCCATTAATTTGCAAAATAAAAAAATGCTTGCAAGTGATATCAGTAAGGCAATCATAAGAAAAACAAATTAACAAAAAACTAAGTTCGTAAATTAATAAGACATGTTTAAACATGGGTCCAACAACTGTTGAGAAGTGTTAGATGAATAGAGTGTCATGTCAACACGGCAAGCACTTGTATGTTTCACAGTTTCATGCCTGTGGGCCGTGTGTTCAACAATTGATTGTTTTAAGTGACACAATTGATTGTTTTAAGTGTCTCACGAATATTGTGTCGGTCTTCGAAATGACACGGTATGCCACACTCTTAGAAGTGTCCAGGCTTCACAATTTCATACCCATGTCATGATGTTCCATCTCCTACATAACCATTTTAATAGTTAATTGGATGAAGGTGCCAGAAACCCTACCCAAAAAACAAAAGGCAAAAGAGAGCAATAGGACACATTAGCATGCATACATGTATTGTTCAACCAAATTTGAGAGGACACACTAGCATGCATATTGTTCAACCAAATTTGATACCATATACTATATCCAGTACCATCCTGGTCTAATCTTACCAATCCTTACCTTACCTGGCAGGTTATAATAGGTTCAAATTCAGAAGATTATTAACATGGTATAAACTTGGAAGTTTGAAAACCAAGGCATCACTTTCTGAAATGTTAGCTCATTCAGTAAATTCATCAAGTCACTAGTTTCCGACTTTCATGTTAATCCCTGATAACCCAAACACATTATGACCAAAATTTGGCCGGTTACAATGTGTGGTACCAAAGGTTGAACCAAAGCAAAATCAAGAAACTATATTACTCCAAAACATAACAGCAAGAAGTGAGAAAATTGATTCAAGATCAAAGAATGCTTTCTGAGTACAACATGTATCAAAGAGACGATGAGCCAAAAAATGTATGAAAGACAGAAAGAGAATGGTGTACCTAGGTGAAAAGTTGTCAAGCTTTTATCTGTGAACCAGCTAGTGTATCTGTCATGCCTGCATTCTGCCCACAACAGCACTCAGATTGAAAAAAGAATGAGCTCTTAGAATCTTTACTTCTCAACTTATTTCAGCTCTCTCACATTCTTCTGCCGAAGTGTGACTTCTTGTATGATTGTATCAGGCCATAAAAAACAATTACATTCATATTCATCAAAATTTTACATCGTCCTCACTAGCCAAAGCATTATCCCATATTTCAGGATCGCCATTGGTATCCCGGTTTGTCAAATGTCCAACAAAGTGGGTTAAAGAAGAGTCTAGGTTTTGACTTCCCATTGGTGCAGACATTAGCTTCTAGTTTCTGTTTCATGCAGTGGTGGTTTTTGAGAATTAGCAGACAACAAGCTTAGTCGCTGAGCCAATTCAGCCATCAGCATGCTGACCTCTTGCATATGCTGTTGTTGCCATTTATCTCCCAAATTCAAGTTGTGAACAATATCTTGCAAGTCAAAGAGACTACAACCCGCTATTTTTTTAATCCCTTGCTCCTTCATCATCTGCTTCGTCCCAGCAACATCCTCCCATTGACCTGCTACAGCATAGACATTCAACAGCAATGCATAGCATGAAGGATTATCAGGCTCCAATTCAATTAAAGCTTTCGCAATTTCTTCACCCAAAATCACATTTCCCTGGAAACGACATGACCCGAGCAATCTAGCCCATAATAAGGATTCATACAATACATTCTCATTAATGGGCATGCTCTTTAAGATTTCCACCGCCTCTTCTACTAGACCAACACCGGCAAAGAGATTAGCCATACACCAATAATGCCCAAAATTGGGCTTTATACTAAACAAGTCAAACATTTGGCTGAAGTAGTTTCTTCCCTCTATCAACAACCCACAACGAGCACAAGCACATAAGATACCAACGAAGGTAATTTCATCTGGGAATTTTTTTTGTCCTTCATCTAGCTTTATATTGTTATCGGAATGTATTTCACCATCTCTTGAGCAAGTTCTGTCTACCATTGTTGCATATAGACTGAGTCCATCTTCCGGATTCCCATGGAGGCAATGCCCCAAAATCATTGCATTCCAACAAACCAAATTCCTGACTGACATCCTATCAAAAACTAGTTTGGCAACATCCACCCTTCTACATTTGCTATACATATCTATCAAAGTCGTGTCGATGATCAAACTCAAATCCACCAATGTCCTGATGAGAGAACCGTGAACTGATCTTCCTTCCCTCAATCTAGCTGACCTACCACAAGCAGTTAGCACACTCACCACTGTCGTTTCACTGCCTCTCAATCCAGTCTTTGCCATTGTCCTAAACAACTTCAAACAGTTGCCGGGGTTCCCACCGTTCAAATACCCCGTAATCATGACATTCCAAGAAACCACATTCCTAATTGGCATTTTATCAAACAGCTGATGAGCAATGTCCAATTCACCAACTTTCACAAATCCATCAACAATTGAGTTCCAAGATACCGAGTCCCTCAGTGACATTTCAACAAACACCTTCCTAGCATAATCAATAAGCCCACAACAGGCATATAAATGAATTAAAGAGTTCTCTACTGGAAGCACACAATCAACACCATTCTTAGTAGCTTGGCCATGACATTTTCGCCCCGATTTCAAACAACCCATCTTTGCGCAAGAACTAATAAGCGGTGGAAAAGTAAAACTATTGGGAACAAACCCCTTGCTCACCATTTCAAAATAGAAAACCACAGCTTGATGTGGGAAATTACTGCAAGCATAGGCCTTGATTACATTATTCACGCAAAATGTATCCGGTGATTCGATACATCGAAAAACCAATATTGTGTAATTTAAATCACCGAAATCAAGTGCACACTTCAAAACTCTGCCAGCAAGAGATGGGTTTTGGAAGACACCACAAGTGATCAAATGGGCTTGGATTTGAACGAGCTGTTTCATGTTGTAGCATGTCTTGAACAGGTTTAGAGTCCGGTGACGGAGCAAGTGTGTTGGGCTATCAGAACTCGACTCCAAGGAACAAGAATGTGAAGATGAGGAAGAAAGACTGGATTTGGAGTGGAACAGAGTGGGATGAGAGAGAAAAGAGCTTCTGAAACGAACGAGTTCTCGAATGGAGACTCTTGCCATTCATCTGCAAGCTGGTCTCGACGATTCAGTTTTGGTCTCGACGCTGATCTCGCCATTAACGTTCATTCTCTCTCTCTCTCCCTCTCACATCAAGGATCTACTAAGGACTACGATATGTCCTAAAACGATGGCGTTTCCTGTTGGAGTATCATGAAACGACAGCGTAACAGATTATATATATAGATAGTTGTATGTCTTGAGAACCCTAGAGTGAGATGGTGAGAGTGAGTAGAGTGTTGCTCGGAGTCAGAGATGGAGGGTTTGGAATTAGCAAGAGCCTATTGGAGATACTGGTCTGCCCTCTCTCAAAACAACCCTTGAGGTTAGCTGTATTTATCAAATGAACCCTAAACTCTTTTTTTTTCCTTTCTATTTTCTGTGATTTGTTTCTTCCTAAACCCTAATTGGAATTGGATTGGTTGGATATGTTGATTTGCTTGTTTCGCAGGATGTGCGAGCAATCGAATTCTCTCATCAGCGACGCGATCGGCGTTGCTTATCCTGTGAGTACTTGTTTCTCTCAAAATTTTGACCTTTTATGCTTCCATTTCCTTGGGTTTTCTATGTTTGATTGTGGTCTTTAATCCAATGTGCTAGTGTTAGTGTTAGTATCAGTGGTAGTGGTGGTGGTTCTAGGGCAGTGAAAGTGGTGAGACTCTAATTCGAAAAATTGTCCTAGTGTTAGTATTAGTGGTGGTAGTGTTAGTATTAATGCTTTTTTTTGCCTTTCTGAAATTTTCCGTTTAAATGAAAACAATTTCGTTAACACCTTCCTTTTTCTTTTTCTTTTTTTCATCATTGTACCAAATACTGGAAAGTACCTCCAAAAAATAAATGAGTAAATAAATCGGTTGAAACAAACTGAACATTAATTTAGCAAGTAAAGGGCATCTTGCTCTATCGGTAAGACCTGCTGTTTTCATCTCTTGTGACATGGGTTCCAATAATGAAAATAACAAAGCTTGAGTACATCTGACTCTCCCAAATCATGCTTTAGCAGGTGACATGGACTGGGTACTTGTCATCCTCTCGAGAAACTGGCTCCACAGGTGGTACTGTATATCTTGTGAATTATGCCCAAGGACCAACTCAGAAGATGCGATAGGGATCTACCCTACTTGCCTTACCGCTCACAAACTAATGTGCTTGCAAGGTGCTTGGTGTCGCATCTCCAATGAGTTGGTACGTGATATGCTACCACTACCAGTCCCTGACGTCCTCGTCAGGGGGACATTATCCTACTTGTCTTCATGCTTGTCCGTTTCCCTACCCATGGGAACCCACCCTGCGCGGACACCACCCTAGGTGCGGACCCCACAATGAAGGTGCTTGGTGTAAGTCCCACGTACCGTCCCCATCGCAGTATCCCTAGGCTGGCTCTAATATCACTTGTCACGGACTGGGCGCTTGTCATCCTCCTGAGAAGCCGACTCCACGACATTATGTCCAAGGACCAACCTAGGAGATGCGATAGGATCTACCCTGCTTGCCTTGCCGCTCACAAATTAATGCGCTTGTAAGGTGTTCGGTGTAAAACTCGCACCTCTAATGAGTCGGTACGTGACACGGGACTCACTTAGTGAGTTACCCTTCAATTAATTTAGTAAGTGTAACATTTGTTATCAGTGGTGGTAGTTCCATTAGCTAAATCACAGTGCCATTTCTCTGTTTCTTAGACTGAAAGTAGTGAAACTGTATTGCCTCTAGCTGGGTAGTCTGTCTTTGAGTCTTTGTAGTGGTAGTATATTTGGGGAAACAGAGTCTAGCTCTTATCAATGTCTCATATATCTTCTAATGTAAATTTTCTCTTGCTTATTCATTTGATAGATAGCGAATGGGATCCCTTGCCTTGTGCCGAAGGATGGGAAGATAATTGACACTGATGACATGCCGAAACCTGCAGGTGCTGCTGATTCACCCAATGAAAAAGGAATGTCAAGTTAGATATGAGTTGTTCCCCATTCAAGTAGAGTTATGTTCACCGAGTTTTTGTTAATATCTTCACATATTTGTATGGACTGCACAATCTTTTTTTACATAACAAAATTTACAAGCTTCAATTGTGTGTGTGTAGTCATTAATTCTTTTTATTGGTGTTTTAATCTTTACAATAATAAATAAATTTCGAGCATTTGGAATGATAATTTTGCACTTAGACACGACCTATAAATTAACTGAAAAATCATAGTAGTTCCATCTGAAGTATTGTAGTTTGTAAATTGTTCGATCAAAAAAAAAAAAAAAAACAAAAGTCTGTAAATTGTTTATCTCCATTTTTTGATCAAAAAAAAAAAAAAACAAAAGTCTGTAAATAGTTTATCTTCATTTTTAGGGGCATTGCTTGGTGCATTGGTAAAAGCATGGGCTACCAGGTTTGAGAATGTGGGTTCAAGTTGGACAGCAACGCCTTTGTACAAATAAAGGTCAGAGGTTAGGTCTGTCTCTAGTCATCCCTCCCAGGTGCCAGCACCGTTGATTTACAAGGACCAACCTTTGGCCATTCTTTAGGTGGTTATATTATATGTGTGTGTATGTGTGTTATTTTCAGTGGAAATGTAATTCATTTCTCATTTCTTACAGTTTCTCTTTGCCTTCTGCTTCTTATGCTGAAGAAACATTTGCTTAAGCTACCTTCTATAACTACTTTTTATTCTCATACCAAAATTATAAAGATTTATGTTTGTTTGATATGATTTTTAAAATTATTGGATTGTATTAGTAGATAAGACTGTTAAAGTTCTTTAAACCTTTGTTACGGTTTATGCCTCAACATTAGCCTTTTATGAATTTCTGCAGATTGAATTTAGGCCATTATGCTGTTGCTGCAAGGCACCAAGTTTTATCCAACTGTGTTTAGCTCACGTGTCTAACATGTAAACTGATATAAATGCTAATTGTAGTTGTACTGTAAAACGATTTCCACAAATGCACAAATGTTCAGATTTGCAGGCTGATGCTTGTAGTTTTCTGAGTTCCACAATTGTTCATGTAATGAAGTATTGTGGAGTTTACTTTTGCCACTTCGCCATCTATTACCATAATTATCTTTTCCTCATAGATTGGAATTGTTAGCAGTGTTGAAAACTTATTTAGATCCCCTGTTGCTTGGGCAGGTCCTGGAATTGAATGATATGTTATGTCTTACTTCTAGCTTGTTCCAGGAATTGGAAAACAAGTGAGTTGAAGATGAATTTGGCATATATTTATTTCGTATAAACTCATTACTTTTGTGTTTTGAACATTCAAACCTTCAGGCTGTTTGGATCCTGGATTTGTTAAGGGGTTTGTGGAGGAAAAAGAATGGAAAGGGAGGTGTATGAATTATAAGTTATATTATTTTCACTTCCTTTCCATTTCTTTTTCCTCCACAAATCCATGATCCAATCACATCATTAGGATTTTGTGTTGTAGAAGTGTGAAATTTTGAGAAGATATATGTCTTTGTTTTTTCTTTCCTTTGTGAGGGGTTGAGGAATTGAGGGCAGAGTGAGAGCTAATTGATTATTTTTAGCTCCACTGGGATGGAAAAACCAGGTTGAAGTGCATTTTGAGCAGCTATCATGAATGAAGAGCCAAATGAGCTTCCATGTTTCCTTCTTGTTTTTAAGAGGAGAATGATACAGACCAAAGATAATACTTGAGGGTTTGTTCTCCCGACTGCAGAGAGAAAACCCAATCTTTTGGCAAGCAGAGACCTATATAGGTTTTGATTTTGTAGTAATAATGACTGAGAATTAGAACAATCTACAGTTTGCAGTGGCTTTCATTGCCGAGGCTGCTGCTAGAAGGGAAAAATAGTAGGAATAGGAAGAGTTCGTGTATGAAAATTGTCCAATTGCATATAATCAAGACATATACTGTATAATTGTGTATAGGGAGAGGCTATGAAATTCCATACCTACAATTTTTTGCAATGAGATTGAATGAGCTTCATATTAGAATAGACCATTATATCTCCATGTGGAATGAAATATGATAATCATATTGAATTGAAAACATATTTCGTCCATTGGCTATGTTGCTATTTTCACATCTTTTCACGTTTCTCTAAAAAAAGGGAAGCCAGTTTGTTTATAACCAATGCGCATGATATGTTTGCAATTTAATCCTCAAATAAGCTAGGTTGGGCACCCTATTGCTTTTGTGGAATCAGATTGTTGAAGGAGATTTCACCCTCGTGACTGCCGCTGCTCCAACACAAAGGATGAGGTGGGTTGGAATCGCTTAACAGGTAATGCAGTTTCTTCCGCAAATTAGATCGCTGAATCACTCACCCTTTATTTTCCTTTTTTGTTAGAACTTTTATTAGGATTCCCAACTGGCTATTGCAGTTTCTTGCAACAAATTAGATCGTTGAATCTTGCACCTTTGTTTTCCTTTTTTTTAAAAGAGATTTTATAAGGATTCCTATCTGGTTGATGTTACCGCGTATCTATGTTCGATGGCTTTTACTAGTCTCCTAGAATGTCTTTTAAGAAGATTCTGCAGCTGAAATTTGAGTGGAGCTTAAAGTAGAGGTCCCTACTCTTTACAAAAAATGATTCTCTCTTCTCTCCCAATTTGTCAATGCTGCAATGAGACGTTTCAGAAAAAAGCATTGCATAACGAGATTCACATATTTGTACGAAAAGCAAACTTTTTAGGAGAGTTATAGCTTGGAGAGAAAGTGTTGGCTCTGTTTTGAATTGTTGCTTTTGTTCAGGTGCACTTTGGTTCTTGTTCCAATTTTGTTTCTTTCTGGGAAAGCATTGTGTGTGCTTATAAAGATGAGAGACTGGAGAATTGAGAAACTGGGTTCAGTACTTTTGCTAGTACCATTTTGTGTGAAGGAAATTGAAGAGGCTGACAAATTGACAGTGATCTGCTTCTGCAGGTGAATTTAATTTTGTGAATGACTTATTTAGATGTTGAATTTGTGGACCAACAATGATTGAGACCCTTTTTTTTTGGACCTCCACAATCCCTTTTAGATCTCAACCATTGATGTATATGTGAGACCCACTCACATATACATCAATGGTTGAGATCTAAAAAGGGTTGTGGGGATTCCAAAAAAAGAGAGTCCCAAGCATTTTTCTTTGTGGACAAGAAGAAAAAGGAGAAAGGAAAAGTGAACACAAAATTTAGGATTAATTACACTTAGCATCTCCACTTTTGTGGAGGGAGGGCACTTTGCGTCGGTTTTGAGATTAGTTGAGGGTTTGCTTGGATACCTGATAATCAAAAAAATTACACTTGGCATCCTTGTACTTTTATGAAATTCTCACTTTGACTCCTCAAATTTTCAAATTTTAATTGTGATAGCTAACCCTTTACATTTTAAGTCAAATTGCAAGGTTAGTTTTCTTTTTTTCTAATATTAATAAGACTAATGGAGATTATATATAAGCTACACCTGACATTTGTTTTCTCTCTTTAAAACCCTTACATTTTCACCAAATTTTTACTTTTAGTCTTTTTGCAATTTCAGTAAAATATCACTTTGATCTCTCCCTTTTAATTTTTTGCCAACCTCACTTTGGTGGTCTTGGACTATTTCTTGTTTGCCTAGGTTAGGCTAGCCAAAACTGCATAGTAATTTTTTGGTCGTCTTGGACTATTTTTTAAATTTGGTCCAAAATTAATTATAATCGGTCACATTAAAAAAGTGAAATCTTAAATTTTTCTTTTTTGTGATACAATTAATTATGATTGGTCGGGATTAAATCTAACGACACCCTTTACCCTTAAGCACCATAGGTTATTTGGGTTAAAGTGGTGCATGAACTATAACCAACAATGACAAACAACAACTTGAAGTCAACTTCCCAAATCCAAAGAATAGTAACTATTCCATATATGTAACTTAATTCAATGTGAAATATTAATCAAATATAATAATAATATAATGGTCAAGAGTGACACTCATTTAGGTACAACCGCTTTGTGTTGAACACTCAAAATCGTCTCTCTCCATTCTCCGAACCCAACCACCCTTCAAAACCAAGCAAAAAACAACTCAAGCAACCCAATTTAAACTCTCTTGTCAAGGCTCTCTAACACAAATGTCTAATCCACGTCTAAGCCAATGGTTATCAAAAAGTTCATATCCTCCATCTCTACTCTCATCGGTCTCAAAGGGTTGCAGAGAATCAAACATCGATCGCCTTGCGAAGCCATTGCATTCAATATTGGAGGTGTTGTCAAGGAGGGAGCGAATGATTCAAGACATGGTCAGACTGCGCTTGACGGTGAGATGTGTTGTGTGTGCTTGTTGAGATTGGAGGAGGGAGAAGATAGAAGGGTTCTTCCTTGCCGGCATGAGTTTCATCGAGCGTGCGTCAATAGATGGCTTAATGGGTGTCAGAAAACGTGTCCGGTGTGCCGGTTTTTGGTGGAAGATGAAGAGAAGTCTAGGGTTAAGGAAGCTTTAACTGATGAGATGGTTATTTGGTTTTCTTCCTTTCATGTTGCTGGCTTTTGAGTTGTGAAAAAAAAATCAACCAACAAAAAAAAATAAAAACTCTCTCTCTCTCTCTCTCTCTGTGATTATCAGTATGGGTTAAATATACTGTTGGCCAGCAAAGTGTGCATTCCGTTTTATTTTTCTCTCATATTTCAATTGTGTCAATTTAATTATCAATTTATCTAATTTATATTTAAATGTTTGAAAAGTTTTTTTCTGCCCAGATTTTCTAATAGAAACAAAGGGTATTCTTGTCCAAGTCCAAATTTTATAACAGGAGTAAATGGCATTTTTGCCCAAATTTAGACAAAAATGAAACAGAGTGTATATTTTGATTTACATATTTAACCATATCATTTTTGCATGCAAATAAAATTGAGTGGGGTGGAAGAACCTCCTCGGATGTATGCAAATCATTTTGGCCTCACAATTTTTTTTTTCTTTTTTTCACTCATTAAAATTTGCACTAGTCTAATTTAAGAGGAAAGAGAAACTTAATGTGCTTGATGAATTGGCCAATTTCCATAGACAAAACACTTGTCATATACTGGAAAAAGTTTTGTATACATTATTGTACAGTCAAATTTGGCTACCCTAAATAAGTACACACTTTTTATCTTTTTATCTTTTTTCCATCAAATCATCTCTCTACTTTTCTTTACATCTTTTCGTAAAAAGATAAAAAATGCACTTATTTAGGTCATTCCAAACAACCCTTAAGTTGGGGTCGCAATTTTATATCCCAAGTACGAAATGTGAGCTTGTTTAGACATTTTGAGGATTAAATGGCAGGAGCCTAAACATTTCTTGGTCCACCAGAAGGTGCTTGAGCATAGTAAGGCCAAGTTTGGCAAGTTGAAAAAAAGTCAAAAAGATAAAAAGTTACTCAAGAAGTTAAAAAGTTATCACTGTTTACCAAAAGTCAAAAATTACGGCTGCACAGCTTCCAATCCTAATTTTCTCCTACATATTAATTTACACAATTTTTTAATACATATTTTTTCATAAAAAGTCAAAAAGTTAACTCAAACATCCATATTTTTTTCCTCAATTTTTTAATCTAAAAACTTATTTAGGACACCCCAAACAAACCCAATAGCTTGACCGAGCACAAGTTGAAGACAACATTGAATGGCGCTCGAGCTTGAAGCCTCTCAAAAATGAGTTTTTAAATTTTGTTTACTACAGAATGTGACACATTTATAATTGCAGAATATTTGTGGAGATCAATAGTTGTGGAGATCCATAGTACTAATTTTTTTTTTTTTAAATATTAGCTTCCTAAAATTTGTAATTTTATTTTGACCCTTTAAAAAAATGAGTAATTTTATTTTGAACTCTTTTCACAATTTGAAAACAGTAAAAAAATGATGAGAGTAAAAAGACTAGTCCAGAGAGAGAGAGAGAGGTGGTAATGGGTGTCAAGAAAATAATTTTTTTTTTGTAAGTTTGTTTCGCATGAAAGTAGTGAAAATTATAAGAAACTTAATTTTTTTTACAACTCATATTAATATTGTAACTAAGTTTTAAATTTCTCACCAAAAATAATTGAATTTATCCATAGAAGGGCCTACCTATAATAAAAATTTTAATTTTTCTATTTTTCTATATGTAATAACACCTTGTGATATAAAAAATAAAAGATTCAAATTATTAATATGAAACTCATAAAGGGCCTTACAAGTCTAAACAATTCGGTCTAATTCACAAAATAGATGGAATAAAAGTTGGACCTTCAATATAACCCTATAAAAAGTCACGGGTGATCAAGCCATCTTTGTTACTACCCTTTACTGGGTACGTGAAGTACATGTAGCTTCTTTGCATAGAAAATCTTGACAATCATTATTAATTATTCTAATTAAAAATAAAATTTTAAAGTAAAATTATTACCATTGAAACTACACAATTAAAATGACATATAAAATATAAACTGGGAAATTATAATAAAAAAAATAATCAAGATTTAATCCTTATAACAAAATAAATCATGAATTTTTAAGTTTATCAATTTTTAAACATTAAGCTTTTAATTTGTTTTCAATCTAAATTATTTGTCTATTTTCATTAAATAAAATCGACGAAAAAATTGGTATTTTTAGTCATTAAATTAATGAAAATTGATATTTTAGATATAATTATATTGAATTTAATGACTAAAATATTATTTTTTTGTAGGTTTTAGTTAATGAAAATAGGCAAATGATTTAGATCGAAAACAAATCAAAAGATTAGAGTTTAAATTGAAAAAATTAAAAACCCATGATTTATTTATTTTATTACAAGAATCAAATTTTTTGTTATTTGTTTTTGTAATTGTCCCAAGATAAATTATATAGATTATTAAATTTAAATTTCATTTTCATTTTCATCTTCATTTTTATTTTTTAAAAAATAATAGCACTTATACTAAAGTGAAAAACCAAAATAATGTGGAAAGCAAATAATGGTCTGACCGCTTTTCCTCGCGCCATATAGGTTAAAATCAAAATAATGGAAGCAGCAATAATGCACCAGAAAAAGTACATATCAAAAAATGTTTTAAAATAAAATATGAAACTTAAATTAATTCTGAATATTACACTCATCACTTATTTAAATTCACATTGTACAATATATTTAAAAAAAAAAATAAATTTTGATTTATCCAAAATGAAAGTTTACTTTAGTTTGCCCAACACTCACACGCATTAATATAAATAAATAAATAAAATTTCAGTCTATTTTGGTCATGACTCAAACATGGGGAGGTAGTTTGATTTAAAAATTCCAAAATTAAATTGAAAAAAAAAGAAGAAGCTATAGACTATTAAACGTATATTTTTCTTTAAAAACAAAATTCTTCATAAAAATTAATTTTTTAATTTTTTTTAAAAATGTATAAAAAATAGAGAGGTGATATACTAAAAAAAAAAAAAAAAAAAAAAAGAAGAAGAAAGAAAAAGAGTTAACAATAAAAAAGTGGCTTTTAAATTTTAACCTCTTGTTAGAAGAGGCCAAAAAGATTTGCACTGAAGTGTGAGTAATGCTTACACTATTATTATTTCAAAAATAATTGGGACTTACACCAAAATAATGTGGAGGGTAATTAATGGTTGACCGTTCTCCTTCACACCATGGGCTAAAATCAAAATAATGGAAGCAGCAATCGAGCACCCAAACCAAAAAAAAAAAAAAAAAGTTCGGATAAAAAAATTTAAAAAAATAAAAGATTGTTCTTTGGGAAAAACTATAAGTAAGTTGCTTATTAATTTATTTCTATCACATTATTTTTCTATTTCTTTATATATTTTTTTGTAATAAGTAAAAAAATCAATTTATAAGTCATACCCAAAAGCTGACCTCGTCTAAAGTTTGAAAAAAATACTGCAACAAATATTTTAATTCATATAACATTTAATTTCATTTTTATCAATAATTTATTAATCACATGAATGAAAAAAGAATATTTTAAAGTGAAATATATATTTTTTTCTTTATACCTTCACCCAATCTGCATTAGTTTTGCTCCCTATGACCTTACTAATAGAGAAGTTACTGTAATTATGTCAAAACTATTTAATTTATTGTATTTTTTAAAATCTCAAGGAAGGATAGTATAATTTATTCAAAAATAAAATATTTAAATCAAATTCATTTCGTAATGTGACTTGGCTTATAAGTTAAATTATTGACTTTTTAACTTATTTAAGTCATATACATCTATAATTTTTACATGTCTTTTTGTAATAAGTAAAAAAGTCAATTATTTACTAGCACTTTCCAAAACAATCATTATACAATAAATTTAAATTTATATCATGCACTATTTTGAGACATTTTTCTAATCACTACTCTTGTTGAAAATTTATTACATTCGAAATATTATATGACATTACTACCGTAATTTTTCAACTAACCAAAACCACAGAGTATATAAAGTGTGTTAACCCCTATATCCCTACAAAGGTTGTCAATATTATCTTCTCTGTAATATTTTTTGCAACATCATGAATTGAAAGCACCGCATAGATATGGCACTCTAAAACGACTGAATAATTGTCTTACTTTACAAATTTGAAGTTTTTTTTTTTTTTTTTTTTCTTTTTTGAAAGAGTAATGATATAGAAATAGAAAGGTTACACACTATTCATTTATTTCAAATCAAAAAACCTATGAAAGTGACTCATTATTCTAAAATTGTTATCAACATATTATTTTTTAGTATTTGTACAAGGAAAAAAAATTCTTAACAATTTACTTTTCTTATCCAAATGGAAGTGTTCATGGTTTGACAATCACCAACATCTTCATGGATAATTTTGGAATGGTCCCAAAACATCATTTCAAAACCAATCACTTGTAACAAAAATTTTTGTAAGTGAAACTCGATAACTCACCTTTTATGTAGTTCAAAAGTAGAAGGTAACCCACTTATTATCTATCTGTTTCGTATGGTATGATAGGTGAGAAGAAAAAACAAATAATGATTGTAATTTTTCACAATCATATTTGAATGGGTAAAAAAATAAATCATGAGAATTTTTTTTTCTTCTTTTGTATTTTGGTATTATAAAAATATATAGCCAATAAGTCTGGAGGAAAGGCTACTGTGTGCATCCCAAAAGGATTTATATGATTGATTAGAGTATATCTCTGATAAAGCATAAGTAAGAGAGTTGTATTCCGTCTAACTGAATTAGTTAGAACAAGCTAGTATAAATACCTATGTAATATCTCATATTGAATAAGATTGGAAATAATTTAGTTCTGTTTATTGGTTTCAAAAATTGTCATTGTGATTCCTCCATGTTCGTTCAAAAGACAGCCTCTACCATTACTATTTTACTCATCTATGTTGATGATATTCTCATCACTGGGAATAGTTATTCTCATATCTCTCCTCTTATTCATCATATGCACTCTGCTTTTTCAATGAAAGAATTAGGGGATATTTCATATTTTCTTGGTATCTTAGTGGTTAAGACTTGTACTGTGTTGTTTCTTTCTCAGCACAAATATGCCTCTGACATTCTTAGCAAGTGCAAGGCTAGCATGCTCAATTGCAAACCATACTCCAGCTCTTCAATACTTGACTATTACAAGGCCGGACATTTCTTTTGCAGTTAATCATGCTTGTCAGTTCATGCATGCCTCCACAGTGACTAATTTTACCGTCATCAAACGCTTGCTTCGTTATGTTCAAGGTACTCTTCATCATGGTCTGGT